ACAAAATTTTAAATGCATGTTTTTCTATAATTATCAAATATATATATATGTGATAGATCTTTTTATAATTTCTTTTGTGGGATGTGTTTCGTGTGCAAACTTTGCTTTGTTGGTATATTTTGTTTTTCTATACAAAACCATGTTTGCACCTATAAGGTAGAGTTTAGGCCTTATAACTTTTAAACTTAACTTACTTTGTTTTAAACTTGCTCTTCTCTTAGAAGATATTTTTTGTTAAGCTAACTAACTTATGGTTTTTACATTTAACTTTGAGTTGAGGTTTTATTTAGAGTGATTTGGTTTAGACTAAACTTTGACAAGTTAAGTTGTTTGGTTAAGCAGTGGTTTAACACTTTCCTGGAATCAGAGCTTAACTTGGATTTTATTTTCACTTTTCTTTAGGGACAGCGGTGAGTTTTCGGACTTAAAACGCTAAAATTCGGGGTTCCCTTCCCTGCAGTGGACACAGCAGATAGCCCAATGTGGCTTTGCTTTAGAACAAACACTTTATTTTAAACTTAACTTGGAGTTTTAATTCTACTTTTAGTTTGAATTTCACGGGCAGTAGAATTTATTGAACATTCTGTCACACATATGTTACAAGTTCCACCCATACACAACTAAGCATTTGCCCTTGACCTGTCTTTATGATATATTGTGTTTTTGCAATCGCGTTTGTTTTTTAGTCGTGAAACTATCGGTTGTAAATCGGAGAGATCGCTATAATTAATAGTTCGGTATTCTCTGAACTTCTAATTAGCGAGCCTAACTGGCTGGTCTGCGAGAAAAACCGAGTCAGTAGCTGTGTGTTCTTTGAAAACCTTCAGTTAGCGGGCCTAAAATAACTGATATACAGGAAAAACAGTTTTAACGGGATAAAAACTATAATATAAGATTTAGCTACGAAGATATTCTGCACACATGCAATATCCCATAATATTTTTCTTTAACTGTCGCCTGTATTTGTAACTTAGGCTACTGTTTAATTTAAGTGATATAGCCAAGGGAGCTGAGAGTCGAACAACCACCCTAATGCTCTAAAAAAGTTTAAAAGATCCATAATCTTTTGATTTTTGTAAAACAGACGTTTGCTTTCATATAAATCAATTAAATTGTTTGTGCAGAAGTAAAGGTCCCCACACGCACAAACTCAAACACACTTTGCACCTAAACTTCACTGCCGTGTTAGTCAGCTAAGGCTAACTTTAGCCTAGAAATTCGTGAGTCAATCGACTCTAAACTTTAAAATGGGTGACAGTGCCTTTTTAAGGAAAGTTTATTCAAAAAAATTCTGTATACTTAAGAATATGCAGTTTTAATTTGGAGTTATTCAGCTTATATATTACAGCTTATCAAATTATATTACCTGACGATCACGGAAGAATTTTATTATACATAAACTATAGCTGTAGTTTGATTATTAAATATACCCTTAAATTAAACACGATCACTCCACCCAAAGCATCGGTACCAACTGTACATATTTTATTTTTGTGTCACCATAGCGACCTCAGTGACAACCGTGAAACCTTTAGGCCTTCTAGCTATATGGAAGTATAAAAGAAACCATATGAGTATTGTCTGCCCTGAAATCTGTGGAATGTGAGCCTTAACAAATGCTGTTATTGTGTTTAGAGAAATCTGCGGAATGTCAGCCTTACCCGAATAAATATTGAGTAAAAAATAGCCTTGATAATTTTTTTTTCTGTACATTACTGGGCACCTCGGCTGCTCAACATGGGCTGGATGGAAAGTTGACCTTGTGTTTGTTTCGGTAGTTCCCTACACTCAGTTTTAAAAAAAAGTTAGTACCGCATTTACGGGGTCATGGTGACGTCATAGTGAACTATAAAAGTGGACGAACAAGGAAGGAGATCAACATTTGGTCCAAGTTGCTCAGTAAGAGGAAGAGCAGAACCATGATTGCTAAGGTAAATCTACCTTCAAAAATATGTATACTTTCAACTGTTTTCAATAATATTCTTTTAATTTTGTTATGACTAATAATTTCATAATACCGAAGACTTAATCTGTTCGTGAAGATTGTTTCCCAAGATTATATTATCTGTGGTCGTTTTTTAACCCTCAAATTACCAACTAGTTTTTGCACCTTTTATTATCGATGAGGTTCATCTAGTGAGTGATTATATTTATTTGCTTGCTACAATGCTAGTTGTAAAGAATTTCCCACAAAATTAGGTGAAATTAAACATTTTTCTATGTAAAATATATATGGGACCACAATAAGAATTAGAGATTCGTTCTAATAATGACGAAACTTTTATTGTGCTGTTTTTAAGAGATTCTTGTAACAAAAACCATCCATCCGCAAGTAATTAGTGCATAAATAAGGTTTCCTGCTTACAAATAACGATGAAATTGTAGGCTTCATGTGTAATTCTATGAATAAATATTAAATTATACATATTATATAATAAAGCGGAATAGTTAACACTTCTTTTTGTGATATTTATTTTTTAATCTGTAAAAATATTAAAGAAAGCGTGATTCAGTTTTATTCTGTTTTTACGTGGTTTCGGCCTCCTGAAAATATTTCCTAATTATGACCAATTTTATTTTTAGATTGCCGTTCTATGCGCCCTAGTGGCCGTCGCTCACGGTGGTTTGTACCACGGTTTGGCAGGTGGCTCTAGTGTCAGCTCTCGCCGACAGGACGTAAGTCGTTAGTTTTTTGTTTTTTTGTACATTATAAAAAGTCGTTTACCCACTTAATAATAATTATTCTCATCAGTTTTATTAACTTTGAAAAACGATGATTTATAAGAGAGAAAATAGTTGTGAATACATTTTACAGCGATATCTTTTCACGAAGATTAACCTTCTAGTCTACCAGAACTAACGAAGAATCTCGTGCAACAGATATTGAACAAAGCTAACAGTAATTCGACCACAACTTAAGGAAGAAATAATATTTATTGAAAATTATAATTATATGATTAAATATTATTTCCGTTCATATTACTTACTAATTCTAGAGTTAGTAGTGTTTGTATAACTTTTGGTTTCAAGACGGTTATTAAGTGCTGTTATAAGCCTCTTTATTTTTCTCAGGATTTTGGAAACTACGCTTTCAACTACGACATTGTAAATAGTTTGGGAGCCACCAACGGCCGCTGGGAGGCTGGAGACGGCTACGGTAACAAACGTGGAGCCTACAGTCTGACTGACATCGATGGTCGTGCCCGTAGAGTGGAATACGTCGCCGATGGAGCCGGTTTCCGTGCTGTGGTTAAGACTAACGAACCAGGTACCGCCGCCAGTGCTCCTGCTGCCGCTGTAGTGGCTTCTAGCCAACCCGGAGTCGTTGCTCACGGACCTGCCGTCGTAAAGGCTCACGTTGCTGCCGCTCCTGTTTATGCCGCTGGTGCCTATGGCGTCCCAGCCTATGCCGCTGGTGCCTATGGCGTCCCAGCTTATGCCGGTGGAGTGTATGGTGCCGGATTGTTAAAATATCACTAAAAGTTGTATTGTTTTTATACCATTAACCACTTAAGATAATCGTTTGGTCAAAGCGTATTCTGTCTTAACAATATACTAACGTTTGAATTCTCAACAAACTCACTTATCTTTTTTTCTCTCTCCCCACTTTCTCAAGATGGCTTCCCACTCTGTTTCAAATCTTTTGCTAAGCTTGTTTTATTAAAAGTTTAAAGCCAACTCGTCCTGTTTTGCTGTTGAAGCTTTAGCTATCTCAAATACTGCGGGTTTGTGTTTTTGTACAGTTTGTATTTATGTAATAAAGTTTATACAAGTATTGTACGAGAGTGGCCTTTGTATTGAAAAACAAGTTCGGGCTTGCATCAGATTACAGAACAGATTACAGAGCATCAGATTAAATATTAAGTTGTGTAATTGTTGTCTTTCGGTTTAATTAAGAAAGATCTCCAAACGTGTAAACAGGCGGGTTCACTGCACGTCTGAAAATACTGTTTTTATTCAAGATGTTAAGAAAACGCATAGGTTAAAATAACAACAGTTCGAAACAAAATTTAAAAACCTTACCACTTGAGCCTTTGGGAAAGTAGACCTTTCTTCAGCAGAAGACTAAGTTAAGTAAAGTGTGAGACAGGATGGAGTGACGTCATGGTTACGCAAAGGAAACTACCATGACAACCCGAAAGTGCTTCTCTTATCTGTTTTTATAATCAGTCGGGTTGAGATTAGTAACAGCTACCAAAAGGTTGCTAAACATATCCGAGAACGTTCTGGACGTTTATCTCAAATATTTCATTTTTCAATATGGCTGTCTCGATCTGAATGACCACCGAGAAAGTAAAATATCAAATCAAGAGCACCTTAAGGTTATTGAACAGTTACACGTTCTTGTTTTTTCTGGTTATTGCTATGTTTTTTTCAAAACCACGATATCAAATATTAAGAAGAATGACTGTGTGTTAATCTACAAGTTATTGACTTGTTTTTTTCTGGTTATCGCTATGTTTTATCAAAACCAAGATATCAAATGTTAAGAGGAATGGCTGTGTGTTAATCTACAAGTTACTGACTCGTTTTTTCTGGTTATTGCTATGTTTTATCAAAACCAAGATATCAAGTATTAAGAGGAATGACTGTGTGTTAATCTACAAGTTACTGACTCGTTTTTTCTGGTTATTGCTATGTTTTATCAAAACCAATATATCAAATGACTGTGTGTTAATCTACAAGTTACTGACTTGTTTTTTTTTCTTCTGGTTATTGCTATGTTTTTTCAGAACCAAGATATCAAATATTAAGAAGAATGACTGTGTGTTAATCTACAAGTTACTGACTTGTTTTTCGTTACTGGCTGGGTCCACATGTTCAGTAGTTTTGTATCCTTACCTGTTACAGGATGCAATGTAAAGGACTGACAAATAATTGTGTGGAAACACCTATTTTCTATGTAAAGAACAGAGGGAATCACTAGTTTAATTAGTGGGATTAGTTACAATATTGGTGATGTTTTTTAATTCATGTATTACTAAGGATCCTGTAACTAACAAAGTCGTGGACCCACAAACAATTTGGTGTGTAAATAAAATGTGTTCGAAAGCTGATGAGGTGAGCCTCGTAGGTAACTGTAGGTTTAAGTATTGATTGAAAAGTAACTTAGTATTGTAATAATGAGCAACTTATATCGGTATAGAAATGTAATAAAGGACGACTTATTTGACTTAATACTGTAATAAAGAACGACTATTTATTAACTTAATACTGTAACAAAGAACGGCTTATGTTGACTTAATACTGCAATAAAGAACGACTTATTTGACTTAATACTGTAATAAAGAACGACTTATGTTGACTTAATACTGTAATAAAGAACGACTTATTTGACTTAATACTATAATAAAGAACGACTTCTTTGACTTAATACTGTAATAAAGAACGGCTTATGCTGACTTAATACTGCAATAAAGAACGAGTTATGTTGCCTTAATACGGAAATTATGAACGGCTTATGCTGACTTAATACTGCAATAAAGAACGAGTTATGTTGCCTTAATACGGAAATAATGAACGGCTTATGTTGACTTAACACTGCAATAAAGAACGACTTATGTTGACTTAATACTGCAATAAAGAACGAGTTATGTTGCCTTAATACGGAAATAATGAACGGCTTATGCTGACTTAACACTGCAATAAAGAACGACTTATGTTGACTTAATACTGCAATAAAGAACAACTTATGTTGCCTTAATACCGCAATAATGAACGGCTTATGTTGACATAATACCGCAATAATGAACGGCTTATGTTGACATAATACCGTAATAACAAACGACTTATATAGACCTAGTGTGTATTTTATAATGCTGGTCCGATTATTTGTTAATCCCTACCATACATTTCCTGGAATCGAACCTCCTGCACGCCTTGCGAGGGCTCTACTAACTTAGCTAAAGGTTAACTCAGTCCAGCAAGTTCTTGTAAGGCGCTTTTTTAAACATTTTAACTAACTACTACATTTTTCCCCTTCTCGCGAGTAACATCCATCCTCGAGCCTTATCTCAAGGTCATGGATGACCAATAGTTAAGCACCAGTTCCTGGACTTGGGTTCGGATCCGAGACCTTTCCCACATGGAGAAACAATCTTATCATTTACTGGAAAGAATAAAAAGCGAACGTAACAGTTTGTAAACCCAAGCTTGCTTTGAATGTGTTTATTTTTAAAATATATATACAAAGAGAAAATAGTTAATTTAAATTTTGGGGAAGTATGAATTTATCACAATAGATAAGTACTAAATAACATGACTGTGATGATTCAACATATTAGTTTTAAACCTGAATGTTATGTTCCAGAGGATTAAACTATTAAATCAGAGATCCCTGTGGTTCCGGTACAGCTGTTTTGAACTGTTGACCAGAAGAGTAGCAACACAACTGTCACAGTAAAGGATTAACTGTCACTTTTATAACGCACCCACAGCTTAAACATATCAAGCGGCATAAAGTCTTGAACCATAGACCCAGGGGTCTGCAGTACGGCACACAGTCGCGCCCGGTCAAAAACTACAAGGGACATTCTACTTAAAGGCCCCAAAATATTCTAACAAACTTTTTTTCTACTTTTTAGATTTACAAAAATAAATATTCTTCTTGGGAAGCTTCTAAAAAAACGTACAAAAGTTTTAAGACTAAAAAAAATATTGAGGTTTAAAGCTAAAAACAACCAAATTATAATATTGAGTTAATCTAAATTTATTTTAGCGCCATCTATTGGATACTTATGAAAATGTATGTTTACTTTATGAAACACTAAAAGGTACATTCTTAACTTAAGTACTAGGGGTAAAGTTGTTGTTTTTTTGCTCGTTTTAGAAATAAATTTTAATGAAAAGAGTATGTTTCGTTATAGTCTTTTGATTACAAATTTTAAAATAGAAGTCTAACAAGAACATTCGCTAGAAACCAGACTATATTGTAAAAGCCGGATGAGAATATTCTTGAAGATCAGTTGCTGCAACAGAGACATTTGTTTTTGCATTTCAAAGTCTGTTCACCAGAATAAGTTATGAGAAATGAGCTACAAATATCAGTATAAGTTACATCTGAGGGAATATTAAGTAATAATTTGTTATTTGTTTGGTAATACGCTGTATATATAATATGTCTCCTATGGATACATTTGGTCAACAGATATGTGAGGCACACATTTTTTTAGAATTTCTAAATTTTATTGCATAAATAAAAAACTGTACAATTGTAAATTAACTCTCTTCAGAGCACACTGGTCCATTTCTTTTCGTGGCCTTTCAGATACGGCAGTAAGAAACGAGCAAAGAAGGAAATAAGAAGTGACCAGAGTGACGCAAACCTAAGAAAGAAGTTAAACAGCGAGACAAGAACGTTAAACTATTTATCATATCAAATGTACATTTCAAATAACGACGAAGTCTTCAGTGGTATTTCAAAAACCCAGCACCATAGGCAGGGGCACCATATAAACCAGCTCCGTAGACAGAGGCTCCATAAACTCCAGCACCGTAGGCAGGGGCACCATACACACCAGCGGCGAAAGCAGGAGCAGCAGCAACAGGGGCGGCGATAGCAGGAGCCGCTACAACAGTTTTCACGACGGCAGGTCCGTGAGCAACGACTCCGGGTTGGCTAGAAGCCACTACAGCGGCAGCAGGAGCACTGGGGGCGGTACCTGGTTCATTAGTCTTAACCACGGCACGGAAACCGGCTCCATCGGCGACGTACTCAACTCTACGGGCACGACCATCGATGTCAGTCAGACTGTAGGCTCCACGTGTGTTACCATAGCCATCTCCAGCCTCCCAGCGACCGTTGGTGGCTCCCAACGGGTCAACAATGTCGTAGTTAAAGGCATAGTTTCCAAAGTCCTGCAGGTTAACCAACACATGTAACGAGTCGTTATAAATAATAATAATTAATACTTAAGTATAGTGCTGGATTATCAAGTGGTTAATTGGTTTTTGGAAAACAGCGTCCAAATTGTTTAGATAATTGAAACAAAGACAGCATTACGTAAATATATATTAAAATATGATTGGCTAACTGTAGACTTCCAAAGCTAAATTGTTTTTATTTTGGGCCTAACTGTTGAACATTTTATAACGAACCAACCAGAAGTAGAAGTACGTATTACTCAGATAAATGACAATTATTTTCTGGTTATTAGTGTGTGTGTGTGTTTTTCTCTTGAAAATATAATATCAAAAATAAAATATAACGGTAAACATTATAAAATAAAAACAATTCAGTAACTTACATCCTGTCGGCGAGAAGCGACACTAGTGCCACCTGCCAATCCATGGAGTAGTCCACCGTGGGCGACGGCCACCAGGGCACAGAAAACGGCAATCTGAAATCAAATAAGATATATTAAACATATTTTATTCTGTAAAATGTTCTCGTTTTACATTCGGTTACATTTTTTCCCCTGTCATTAAAGATACAAACCTTGAAAAAATAACTGAAGCAAGGAAAACAATATTTGTCGTTGGAATATATTTTAACTATTTCTATCAAATCTGGAAAATTCGTGTTTTAGAAGTATTTGTGTAAATTTGTATATATATGTATATATATATATATAACGGATCATAGAGATTCCACCAATAGGTTCTGGGTGATATGTAATTTGGCAATATTTTTATTTATTTTCTCGGTACACTTACGACAATTAAAATACGTTATGCAGCAATTGATTTTTGTTTTTTTCTACAATATTTTACTAAAATCTCGCGGTTTGTTTGGAAATAAGCACAAATCTACACAATGGGCTATCTGTACTCTGCCCACCACGGGTATCGAAACCCGGTTTCTAGCGTTGTAAGTCCGAAAATCTCGCGGCACCCCGACTGGGAAACACTGGTCTAGAATAATTGACTTATCAGTTATAATATCATTTTGATTTTGTAGACTACCGATTTTAATCCTTACCTTAGCGATCATGCTGGTGCTGCACTCTATGGAGATCCGAGCAAAAAGTTGGGTTTTAACATCATCCGTCCACTTTTATAGTGTGTAATGACGTCACACTTGGCCTGGGAAATTCGGTTTGGAGCCTTCGAATTAAACTCAAGGACGTTAGTTTATCGGGTTGTTCTTTACTCTTAGTATTGTAATGTTAAGAATGTCAAGACCCCTTCTTCCCACTGCATGGCTTAAATATGAAACATTAATTACTAGAACAGTTTATATTTCCTTAAGCACGTGGATATTGTTGTTGTTGTTTTTATAGTTTTTAAAAGTTAAGGTCAAAAGCTCATTTTCTTCCTACTGAAAGATTTTTCTTTACTGAGAAGTAAAATGGTAGTTTTAGCCTAAAAGGCGCTTTAAACGAGCGAATCACAGACCCCTGTAGGTTTCACTATATAGTGGTTCCTAAGTTTGAACTACTGACCAGAGAGAGAATGCACCGATGGAAAATAAGGATCTGAACAGAATTATGCCACTAACTATAACTATTATAACGCACCCGAATTAGATAAAGACAAGTGTTATATTTCTCACATACAGTTAATTGAACATATTTTTACATACTCACCATTAAGTGTTAGCTATACTTCATTCAAAGTTGTTCTTGGAAAACATGGAGTCTCACCAGTTCTGTTAAGTCAGTATATGTGAACACATGGAGTCTCACCAGTTCTGTTAAGTCAGTATAGATGAAAACATGGAGTCTCACCAGTTCTGTTAAGTCAGTATATGTGAACTCATGGAGTCTCACCAGTTCTGTTAAGTCAGTATATGTGAACACATGGAGTTTCACCAGTTGTGTTAAGTCAGTATATGTGAAAACATGGAGTCTCACCAGTTCTGTTAAGTCAGTATATGTGAGCACATGGAGTCTCACCAGTTCTGTTAAGTCAGTATATGTGAACACATGGAGTCTCACCAGTTCTGTTAAGTCAGTATATGTGAACACATGGAGTCTCACCAGTTGTGTTAAGTCAGTATATGTGAACACATGGAGTTTCACCAGTTCTGTTAAGTCAGTATATGTGAGCACATGGAGTCTCACCAGTTCTGTTAAGTCAGTATAGGTGAAAACATGGAGTCTCACCAGTTCTGTTAAGTCAGTATAG